CGCAAGCACACTCATCCCCCAGCAGCCCCTCCATCCTACCCCAGGGCCTCCCCGGCCCCATACACATGCTCACACAGTCCAGACGCGAGTTCCCTCTATCAGCACTGTGGGTCACACACACACACACACACACACACACACTCTCACACACACTCTCTCTCCAGGCTCCGACCCTTTCCCCAAGATTCCCCTCCCTCCTGGCCGTGGGTCACCCCCCCCACCCCGCACCTGCAGGGCGCCGTCAGTGGGCGCGGGGCGCACAGCAGCGGGGCCCAGGGGGCGCAGCAGGGACAGGGGGAGCAAGTGGCCAACAGCGGCAGCAGGTACAGAGCCAGAAGGTTGTAGAGCGCGAAGGCGCGCTCCAGGGCGCGGCTGGGAAACGCCTCGCTGCAGTAGGTGTGGGGCCCCGGCGACAGGCGGTGCAGGGCCAGCACTGGGGCAGACACAGCTGCAGAGCCTGCGCCACCCGCCCAAGATGAGCGCTGTGCCTGGAGAGTGGGGACATGTCCCACCCAGGAGCCGTGGTCTCCCCACCAACCAGTGCCACGTTCCCCCGTCTGTGCCTCTGTCCTCGCCCACCCCAAATCGCACTCACCCACCCAGATGCTAAGGCTGACAGCCAGGGCCAGGCGCGGAGTGCGGCGGTGCAGGGCGCGCAGCGGGAACACAGTCACATACCAGCGGTCCACGCTCATGGCCGTCAGGGTGGCGCAGGTGGCTTGCACCGAGACCTGGAAAAGCCAAGGGCTGAATGTGGGTCCTGCCAGTCCCACTACATATCTGACCACTCAGATGTACACGAACATGTCCGGGGAGTAGTCAGTGGCCATGGGTTAAGGAGACCTGAAAACCGGGAGAGGTGGGAGAGAGGGAAAACTGGGGTTTGTTAGGCATCCTGAACACACCCACACACCCCGGAACAGGCGCGCTGTGGGATCTAGCCCCTACCCACTCAGACTTTGGCACAGAGACCACATGATGTACCTGTATTCTGGAGGTGTGCATGCCAGAGCACCCCTCCCTGCCCATACCAGGCTCTGACTTCTGCCCTGCAATACCTTGCCCTTTGGGACCTGGAGAGAGCTAAGTGGTTAGTGCACTGGCTGCCCCTGCAGAGGATCAGGGTCTGCTCCCAGCAACCACACAGGGCTCACAACCACCTGTGACTCCTGGTTATGGGGACCCGACGACCCCCCTTCCGGCCTCCGCAGGTACTGGTGCACAGACAGGGATGCAGGCAACACACCCACACACATGAAATATCAATACATTTAAGTGGCCCACGCCTTTAATCCCAGCACTCAGGAGGCAGAGGCAGGCGGATGTCTGTGAGTTCGAGACCAGCCTGGTCTACAGAGTGAGTTCTAGGACAGACTCCAAAGCCACCTCTGGTCATCTACGTCATCTTTCGAGGCAGAGAAACCCTGCCTCAAACAAAATAAACAAAAGACCATGCCTCGTCGTTTCTGATCATGACCCCACACTGTGCACCCCAGACCTGCCCACCCAGGCTCTGGTCCCGCCCTTGCCCCAGCCAGTCTCTCTCCCACCAGAGCACACACCCAGCCCCACCCCATCTGCCCGGGCTCTCACCATTCCTGCTCCCACCAGCCCTGCGCACCTGCTGGATGTAGTTGACAAATTTGCACATGAAGTCTCCCAGCACCCAGGCGGGTAGCGGGTAGAGGAGCGCCGTGAAGGGAACGCAGCACAGTAGGAAGGTGACATCTGTGGCCGCCAGGTTGGCTACAGGTGGGGGACACACGGACGCTGAGAGGTCTGGTCCCTGACCTCTCCATCCCTGTGAGAGGGACCCCCCCCCCGGAGGGACCCCGCTCCACACACAGACACACATACACACACCACACACGCGCGTGCACACACAGAGACACGCTCGCACACACATATACACATGCACACGCTCGTGTGCACACACACACACACACACACACACACACACCCTCCACCTCTGTTACTCTCATTCCCAGCTGCCCCGGGTGTCTCCGAGTCTCAGTTTTCCCGTCTCTAAATTGGAGACAGCAGGTAGCCCCAAGCTGCAAGTCCTGGTCAGGGCGTGTCTCACACACCCTCCCTCCGCCCCCAGTCCGTCCAGGGGTCCTCACCACGTCCACAGGACAGACACCTGCAGAAAAGCCACGTCTCCTTGCGCAGTACAGGCCAGATGTGACTGTAGCCACTCTGGAAGAGGTGGGGCAGGGCGCAGG